CTGCACTTCTGCATTGAAGACAAACGAACTAAATTCGACCGTTACTGCAACACCTGTGGTATTCGCCGAGTCAAAACCCAAAATATGTTCTAGAAAACTCGCGTATTCCTCGGCGCACAAACAAAGCCGCAAAACAGCTGCAAACGTATTCGTGTACTGCACACAAGCTACCGCCTACCTCTCTCTCAACTGCGAAACCATCCGAATGCAGCCAAGAACCACAAATGCTCCAATGCAAAGGGTGAAACCAATGCTCTCCAATTACGCGGAGAAGCGGTAGAGCAACACACGCAAACTATCGCCAATCAAGCCACATCGGCAGCTTGCCGCTTCACGCACTTCACAATACTGTTCCATTGCTCACCGCCTGCACGGATCCACGCGGTCGCCCCAACGCATACCCATGCCCAATCAACTCCTCCCCTCAAATACACATCACCGACCGCCTATGGGTTTTACGCCCTCCACATATGTAGCCACTCCCACATTACCTAACACATGCCAAAGCGAGCTAAAGATGCGCACTTCCTGGTACGAAGTAATGGAATGGATTGCTGTGGGGGACGCGTGCTGGCTATGCACAGCCGCGTCTTTCTGCTAGTCCACAGAACCTAGAGCCTACTCCTTCATCAACTGCAGAATCATCGGACAGCAGCCAACACCGACAAATGCTCCAATGCCAAACGCTACACAAATGTCGTCCCATTGTGCTGAGGTGTGAAGCGCCACACGCAAACTATCTCCAATCCACCCAAACCGACTGCCTGCCGCGCCTGCAATTTACACTAATGTTCCCAATGCTCACTGCCTGCGCGGATTCACGCGTTCTCTCCAACTGATACCATGCCCAAACGCCTCCTCCCCTCAAATACACATCAACGACCGCCTATGGGTATTACGCTCTCCACATATGTAGCCATCCCCACATTACCTAACACATGCCAAAGCGAACCAAAGATGCGCACTTCCTGGTACGAAGTAATGGAATGGATTCCTGTGCCGGATGCGTGCTGGCTAAGCAATGAGTCCGTGTCTTTCACCTAGTCCACAGAACCTACAGTCTACTCCTTTCTCAACTGCGAAACCATCCGAAAGGAACCAAGAACCACAAATGCTCCAATGCAAAGCGTGAAGCCAATGCTCTCCAATTACGCTGAGATGCCGTGAAGCACCACACGGAAACTGTCTCCAATGAAGCCACATCGGCAGCTTGCCGCTTCACGCACTTCACAATAATGTTCCCAATGCTCACCGCCTGCACAGATCCACGCGGTCGCTCCAACGCATACCCATGCCCAATCAACTCCTCCCCTCAAATACACATCAACGACCGCCTATGGGTTTTACGCTCTCCAGATATGTAGCCACTCCCACATTACCTAACACATGCCAAAGCGAGCTAAAGATGCGCACTGCCTGGTACTAAGGAACCAATGGGTTGCGTTTGTGCATGAGTTAGCTACGCACAGCCTCCTTGTCTTTCATCTAGTCCACATAACCTACCGCCTACTCCTCAACTGCGAAAACATTCGAAAGGAAACAAGAACCACAAATGCTCCAAAGCAAAGCGTGAAACCAATGCTCTCCAATTACGCTGAGATGCGGTGAAGCGCGACACGCAAACTATCTCCAATCCACCCAAACCGACTGCCTGCCGCGCCTGCAATTTACACTAATGTCCCCAATGCTCACCGCCTGCATGGATGCATGCATTGATTGCAACCCATACCCATGCCCAATCAACTCCTCCCCTCAAATACCCATCAACGGCCGCATATATTTTATACGCTCTCCACATATCCAACAACTTCCACATCACCTAAGGCATGCCAAAGCGAACTAAAGATGCGCACTGCCTGAAAACCATTGGTTGCGTTTGTGCATGCGTTGGCTACACACAGCCTCCTTGTCTTTCATCTAGTCCACATAACCTACCGCCTACTCCATTCTCAACTGAGAAACCATCCAAAGGGAACCAAAGCGTGAAACCAATACTCTCCAAATGTGCTGAGACGCGATGAAGCAACACACGCAGACTATCTATAATCCACAGAAACCGACTGCCTGCTGCGCCTGCAATTCACAATAATGTTTCCAATGCTCACCGCCTGCATGGAGCCATGTATTGGCTCTCACTCATACCCATGCCAACCGGCCTCCTTCCCTTCAATGCCCAACAGCGCCCGCCTGTACTGTCTGGGTTCTCTGCATATCTACCCGCTCCCATGTCGCCTAACATACAAGGACGGAAAATGCAGGTGCGTACGTGCTTGTACAACGTACGAGATTGCGTTTGGGAACGTGTTGACTATACACAGCCTCCTTGTCTTTCATCAAGTTCACAAACCCTACGGCCTAGTCCTTGCGTAACTACTCATCCATCCGATAGGAATAAATGCCCAGAAATGCTCCAATGCAAAGCGTGAAGCCAATGCCGTACCTTCACGCCGGGTTTCACTGAAGCACCACCCAAAACTTTGCCTCCCATCCAGCAAATGAATTTCTTTCCTCTTTTGGGTTTCACACGAATTTTCCCAACGCTCACAGCCTGCACTCAGATGCATTTGCTCTATCCCATAAGCACGCCAATTCGCCTCCTCCCCTCCAATACCCATCAGCACCCGAGTATAGTGTTTACGCTCGCCAGATTTCCCGCCACTCTGTAATCACGTAACATATGTCAACGCGAACCAAGGATGCGCACTTCCTGATACTAAGAAAGTAATGAGCTGCGTTTTTCCAAGTGTTGGCTATGCACTGCCTCTTTGATTTTCATCTGGTCAACAGAATCTAGTTCCGACGCCTTGCAAAAATGCGCACCAATTGGACAGCAACCAACATCCACAAATACTACTAGAGTGCGAAGATGCAATGTGTTCTCATCACTCCGAGACTTGGTGAAGCATCACACGCAATCTATGTCAACCGTAGATATATCAATTGCTTCCCCCATTTGTATTTCACATTGACATTCCCAATGCTCACTGCCTGCGGGGGCAGGCGTTGGCTCCATCTCACACCAACGCCGATTCGCTCCCTTCCCTCCCATACCCGTCAAGGATCGCTTAGAGTGTCTGAGCTCACCACATACCCAGTCACCCCTACATCACCTACCACATGCCAGCGCAAACCAAATATGCGCACTCTCTGATACTGAGAAAATAATGAGTTGCGTGCTTGCGCAAAGTGTTGGCCATGGGCGGCCTCCTTGACTTTCACATAGTCCACAGATCCTACTGCCTAGTCCTGCCAAAACTGTGGAACCTCCGGTAGCAACCAGCACCCAGAAATGGTCCAACGGAAAGCAATAAACCAATGCTGTCCCTTTATGCTGAGACGCCGTGAAGCACCACACGCAAATGATCTCCAATCCGGTCAAACTGATTTCTTCCCGCCCCTTCAATCCACACTAATTGTCTCAGTGCTCACATCCTGCGCGGAGGTGCGTTTGCTCCACCTCATAAAAATGGCAATTCACCTCCGCCGTTCCAATACACTCAACGACCGCTTAGCGACTCCGCGCTCAGCGCATACCCATCCACACCCACATCACCTAACACTTGCCAACGCGACCCAAAGATGCGGCATACCTGATATTAAGAAAGTGATGATTTGCGTTTGGGCACGTGTCGACTATGCACGGTCTCAATGCCTCTCATCTTATGCATAAACCATACTGCCTAGACTTCTCATAACTGCTCATCCATCCGACAGCAGCCAACGCCCACAAGTGTTCCAGAGCAAAGCGCCGTACCAATGCCGTCTGTTCACGGTGAGACGCAGTGGAGCACAACACCTAAACTATCTCCAATCCAGCCACATCGGCTACTTTCCACTTTTTCACTTCACACTGTTCCCAATGCTCACATCCTGCAAATCGTCGCGTTTGCTCCAACTTGTGCACACGCCAGTTCACCCCCTCCCCTCCAATGCCCACCAACGGGTGCATGCAGTGTCTACACCCTCCACATATACAGCCACTCCCACATCACCTAGCACATGCCAAGGCGAATCAAAGATGCGCACTTCCTGATAAAAAAGAATGGACTTCATTGGGAGGCAAGTGCTGGGTATGCACAGTCTCCGCGTCTTCCCGAGTGTCCACAGAACCTACCGCCTACTTCTTTCTCAACTGCGAAAACATCCGAAAGGAACCAAGAACCACAAATGCTCCAATGCAAAGCGTGAAACCAATGCTCTCCAATTACGCTGAGATGCGGTGAAGCAACACACGCAAACTATCTCCAATCCACCCAAATCGACTACCTGCCGCGCCTGCAATTCATATTAATGTTCCCAATGCTCACCGCCTGCACGGATTCACCCTTTCGCTCCAACTCATACCCATGCCCAATCAACTCCTCCCCCCAAATACCCATCAACGGCCGCCTGTGTGTTTTGCGCTCTCTACATATCTTGCCACTCCCACATTACCTAACACATGCCAAAGCGAACCAAAGATGCGCACTCGCTGATATAAAGTGATGGAATTGCTGGGGGGGTCGTGTCCTGGCTATGCAGAGCCTCGGTTTCTTTCATCTACTCCACAAACGCTACTGCCTAATCATCTCATTAGTGCGCATCCATCCGCTAGCAGCCAACACCCATTAATGCTCCAATGCAGAGTGCGAAACCAATGCTGTCCTTCCACGCTGGGTGGCGGTGAAGCACCACGCGCAAACTATCTCAAATCCAGCCAAGTCAGTTGCTCTCTCCGTTGGTGTTCACTCGAATTCAATGTTTACCGCCTGAGCAGAGGTGCGTTGTCTCCACTTCACAGCCACGACCATTCGTCTCCTCCCCTCCAATACCCATCAATGCCCGCTTATAGTGTCGACGCCCACAACATGTCCCGTCGCTCCCACGTCACCTGACACATGCCGACGCGAACCAAAGATGCGCACTTCCTGATACTAAGAAAGTAATGAATTGCGTTTTTTTTCGAATGATCGACTGCGCACTGCCTCCGTGACTTTCATCGAGTTAACAGAACCTGGATACTATGCCTTGCGCACCTGCGCACCCATCAGACAGCAACCAACAATCACAAATACTCCAATGCAAAGCGTGAAACCAATGCTATCACTTCATGGTGCTACGCGCTGAAGCATCACACGAAATCTACCTCAACTCCAGATAAATAAATTGCTTCCCCCACTTGTACTTCACACTAATGTCTCCAATGCTCACCGCCTGCACGGATTCACGCGTTTGCTCCAACTCACACCCACGCCAATTCGCCTCCTCCCCTACAATACCGATCAACGCCGGTATATAGCGTCTACGCTGACCGCATACCCCGCCACTCAAGCATCGCCTAACACATGCCAATGCGAACCAAAGATGCGCACTTGCTGATACTGAGGATGTAGTGAGTAGCGCGTGGGGAAGAGCTGGCTATGCACGGCCTCCTTTTCTCTCGTCCAGTCCACAAACGCTACTGCGTAGTCCTCGCATAACTGCGCATCCACCCGACAGCAACCAAAATCCACAAATGCTCCAATGCAAAGTGAGACGCCAACGCCGTCCCTTCGTGCTGAAATGCGGTGTAATGTCACAAGCAAACTGTCACATATCCAACCTGGTCGATTGCTTCCCGCCTTGTATGTTACACTGATGCTCCCAATGCTCACCGCCTGCACGGGGTCACGCGTTTGCTCCAACTCGTACACACTCCAATTCGCCTCTTCTCCTCCAATAGCCATCAACGACCTTCTCAAGTGTCTGCGCTCACAAAATATCCAGCCATTCCCGCATCACCTCACACGTGAGTACGTAAACCAACGATGCAGCTTACCTGATACTAACACACTAGTGGGTTGAGCGCCTGCAAGAGTCAGCCACGCATGTTCTCCTTGACTTTCATACAGCCCACAAACCATACCGCCAACGCCTAGCGCAAGTGGCCGAACAGCCGATAGCAACCAACAACCACAAATGCTCCAGTGCAAAGAGTGAAACCGACGCTGTCCCTTTACGCTAAGATGCGATGCAGTATCACAAGCATTATGTCTCAACTCCCGCTAAGTCAATTGATTCCCGCTATTGTATTTCACATTAACATTCCCAATGCTCACCGCCTACGCGGACATGCGTTTGCTGCACTGAGTACCCACATCGATTTGCCCCCTCCCATCCAATATCATCACATGCCGCCTACTGTTTCTATGCTCACCACCTATCCCGCCACTACCACACCAGCCAACACATTCCAGTGCGAACAAAAGATGCGCACTTGCTGGTACTAAGAAAGAAGTGAGTTGCGGGTGGGACGGTGGTGGCTATGCACGGCCTCCTCATCTTTCATCTAGTCCACAGACCCTACCGCCTACTTCCTTCACAACTGCGCTTCCACCTGGCAGCAGCCAACACAAACAAATGCTCCAGTGCAAAGGTCGAAACCAATGCCGTCCTTTCATCGCGAGCGGAGGCGACAATTTACACACAAACAAATTCAACTCCATCCAAATCGATTGCTTCTGCCTTTCGCAGTCCTCACTAATGTTCCCAGTGCTCACCTCCTGCACGGATTCACGCGTTTGCTCAAACGCATACCCACTCCAGTTCGCCTACTTCCTTCGTGTACCCATCAACGGCAATCTATAGTATCAATGCTAACCACATATATAGCCACACCCATATCACCGAGCACATTCCACTGCGAACCAAAGATGTGCCTTAACGGATACTAAGAAGGTAATGAGTTGTCTTTGGGCAGGTGCTGGCTATGCAAGCCACCCTTGTCTTTAATGTCCACAAACCCTTCTGCCTCGCCCTCTCATAACGACTCATCCATCCGATACCAACCAACACCCATAAATGCTACAATGCAAAGTGTGAAACCAATGCCATTCCTTTCACGGCTAGCCCCACTGAAGAACCGCACACAAACTATTTTAGATCCAACGACATCAACTGCCCCCCTTTTGTCTGTCACATTAACGGTCCCAATGCTCACCGCCTGCACAAATATGCGTTTGCTCCAACTCCAACTACGCATGTTAATTCGCTCCCTCCCCTCCAATACCCATCAACGCTGGTTTATAGCGCCTAGCCTCACCACATATCCAGCCACTCTCACATCATCTAACACATGACAACCCGAACCAAGGGTGCGCACTTCCTGATACTAAGAAAGTAATGGGGTATGTTTGTGCAGGCGCTGCACAGCTGTTTTGTCGTTTATCTACTCCATGAGCATTACGGCCTACTCCCTCAACAAGTGCTCATTTATTATCCGATACCAGCCAACACCCACAAATGCTACAATCCAAAGTGCGAAACCAATGCCGTCTCTTACGCTGAGCCCCATTGAAGCGTCGCACGCAAACTATGACCAATCCAACTATATCAATTGCTACCGCCTTCGTACATCACACGATTTTTTCCAGTGCTCACTGCCTGCGCGGACGTACGTTTGTTCCAACCCATAACAACGCCAATTCACATCCTCACCTCCACTACCTGTCAACGCCGGCCTATAATGTCTACGCGCACCATATATCCTTTCACTCACACATCATCCAACACATGCCAGCTTGTAGCAAAGGTGCAGCGTCGCCCATACTAAGAAAGTACTGAGTGAGCTTTGGGCAAGTGTTGGCTATGCAAGCTACCCTTGTCTTTTATTCTAGTCAAAAAACCCTACCGCCTACTCCATACGCAACTACTCATCCATCCGGTAGGACCCCATAACCACAAATGTTCCAATGCAAATTGCAAACTCATGCAGCCCCCAGCCGGAGATATGGTGAAGCACCAGACGCAAGCAAGGCCCAATCCCGCAAAATCAATTGCTTTCCTTTTTTGCAATTCACGCTGATCCTCCCAATACTCACCGCCTGCGCGCATACGCGTTTGCTCCAACTCATACACACCCTAATTCACCTCATCCCCCCCTATGCCAATCAACGGCCGTCTATAGTGCCTACAATCGCCATGTATCCCGCCACTCCTATATCGTCTAAAACGTGCCAATGCGAATTAAAGGTGCGCACCTCCTGGTACGAAGTAATGAGTTGCGTCTTTGCAAGTGTTGGCTATACACGGCCTCCTTCTCTTTCGTCTAGTCCACAAACCCTACTGCGTAGGCTTCTTATAGAGCTCATCTACCCGATAGCAGCCAAAACCCACAAATGCTCCCCTGCAAAATGCGACACAAATACCGTTCCTTCGCTCTGAGGGGCAACAAAGCACCACACGCAAACGATCGCAACTCCATCCAATTCAGTTGCTTCTCCATTTCACACTTCATACTAGTGTTCCCAATACCCACCGCCTGGGCGGACGTGCATTTCCTTCAACTCATACCCATGGCAATTCGTCTCCTCCCCTCCAATACCCATCACACGACGCCTAGCGGCTCTACGCTCAGCAAGCATGCAGCCAATCCCCTGTCACCTAACACATATCAAGGTGTACCAAAGACGTTTCAAAATATGTCGGCTATGCTCGGCCCCCCTGCCTTTCGTCTATTCCACAAACCCTACCGCATACTCCTTCAACAACTGCGCATCCGTCCGACAGCAACACCTACAAGTTCTATAATGCAAACGCAAAACCAATGCTGTCCCTTTGGGCTGAAACACTACGCGGAAACTCTCTTCAGTGCAGCCAAACCTCCTGCCTTACTTTTTTCTGTTTAACGCTAATGCTCCCAATGCTCACCTCCTGCAAGGCGTACCCTCTCCTAAAGAGCACACCCATGCCAAGTTCCACTTTTCCCCGACAACACCCGTCACTGCCATCCCCTAGTATCTACGCGCACCCTAAAGATCACACCCATGGCAACTTCCACTTTTCCCCGACAACACCCGTCACTGCCATCCCCTAGTATCTACGCGCACCACATATCCAGCCACGATGATATCACTTGACACATGACAATACGAAGCAAAGATGCGCACTTCCTGATACTATGAAAGTGATGCGTTTCAGTCCGCCAGGTATTGGCTATGCACGGTCTGCCAGTCTTTCATCTAGTCCACGAACCCTACCGCATACTTTCGCCACAA